TTACTCCGCTGACGCTGGTAAATAGGTTCCGAATAAGAGGTCGACGCCAACATATTTTCGGCGGCGGCGACGCCAGTTTTTTATGGTTTTTCGGCGGCGCGGCGCGGCGTCGCAATGTAGAAGTAATAAGAAAACGATTTTTTCGGCGGCGTTCGGCGGCGCGGCGGCATACGACCGGCTGCGTCGACCTCTGTTCCGAATCAATCGATCCATATACAACAAGACAACTTGATTAAACCAGAACTTGTTGTTTTCAACATTGTATATACGTAAGTACTTGGCTTTATCTGATGCCACGCGTCAAGCTAAATTATTTTCGAATGGCAGAAGATTATTGACGCCAACACAATTTCGAGCTGCTCAGTAATCTCGCGTTGATTTTATGGAGCTGTCGTGGAAGTTTCTTAATTGCATTTTATTTACATCATCTGCTACGTATAACACTCCTGATATAATTGAATGTTGACTTAATTAAGAAACTATAAGCGTGTTGATCGTCGCAAGTTAATTATCGAATTCCTTCTAGAACAACACACTTAAAAATAATCTTACGCTTTTGGGTATTAAATACAGTCCATATTTTATATTAATTATTTGCGCGTAAACTATACTAAACTTAGAGTTAGGTTAACTTGTTACATACGGACATATGTACATAGTTGAACCCTGACTCGTGGTAGAGAGTCGTGTGGAAAGGTTTCAAACTAGTATTTAAGTTTTCCTGACTAAATCATCCCCACGGTTGACAGAGTAGAAATATAAAATTTATTTGAAATATGAAATGCCCAGCATAAATTGCATTTCGTGTATTACTATGCTTTTGTATTATGTATCATACATAATACAAAAGCATACATACATAATGTATGTATGCATTGTCGTGCATTTTTATGGGTTTTTATGTATTACTGTGAATATTTATACACATTCATATGTACAAATAATTTCGTGCGTAAATATTCCCAGCTATATTTCAACTAATTATGTACAGTTAAAGTCCAGTCAGGATTTTTTTTATCTCAAGCTCACATTCCATTTTTTCAAGAATAGGTAAGTAAATATTTCAAAATTATTTTTATTCCACTTACTAACAATATATCAGACTATATATGTACATAGTGGAAAATTGTAGAAAGAGTTACGACGAATAAGTCTACCACACATAACGGACGCAAGTTTGCTCGTTTATCGAACTTTTTTAGTATAATATGTAATTCGAAATTATAATAATTTGTTTTCGTATGATTTTAAATATCAAAACCGATGGTTTTATTCTCATGAGGACATTTATGCCACACATTTTTATTACCTTGTTTATTAGTGTATTTTATTGGAAGCCTGCCTATTTTACTAAAGCGTTGTTCCATTTGATAATTAATATCACGAAATATTGTTCTCGGGTGAGAATATATCCTACTCTTTGTGCGGAAACCGTGCAAACGTACTTGGGGCTTCACCCCATTCCCAGGGACAAACGTCCCCACACTCCTAGGTAAATATAATGTATACCACCCAATTTTCTCCCTTTCTAAAGCGACACTTAGCTATTTGCCGCTATGTAAAAACTTTCCCGTATGACTTCAATCCCAAAACACGGCGTTTGTTTAAAGTGCACGATCCAAAACTTGGCAAGCGTCATCAGATGATGTGCCTAATTAGTTTAGCATATATTTCCACCCTGTTTCTGGGCTTGATATTGGGAAACCATACGGCAGCAATGAAGGTGATAGGAGTAATCTTCATCATGGCGTACTGTTTACCTTTATCGGGACATTGGAACTTCAACTTGGAATTGACACCGATTCAAGTACTTAATTCATTTATGGACTTTGAAGCTAAGGTTTTGAGAGGCACGGCTTACAAACATACCTAGTTTAATGATTCAGTTTTATAATTCAAAGAGCTTGGTAGAACGTTACCAGATGCAGACTTAGTGCGCCTAGCGAAGCGACCTGGCATAAGAATTTGGATCTCTGGAAATATAGCAGACCAAGTTTATTAAAACCTTAGACTATTTAATAATAATATCTAGAGTGGAAAAGCCCATGGTAAATTTTGAAAATAACAACTTTTTTTGTTCCAATACAGACTAAAATAAGGGTGCAATAATTTTTGTGTAACAACTATAAGGTCAAATACTTATTTTCCAAAATAAATCATTTTCTCTCCACTTTGAGCGAAAAAAATGGTGACCGAAAATGTGCAAAAAATGTACACTTGGAGAATTTCATCTAAAATCCTAATTTTTGCATGATTTTTTTATGAAACTATGTAACATTGTTGTTATACAAAAGATTATTGCACCCTTATTTTTATCTGTATCGGAACAGAAAAATTTGCTGATTCTGGTAGCTTTTCTACTCTAATTATTATTGTTAAATACTCTAAGATCCTATCTATCCCTACTGGGATAAAGTAATAGTTTGCTCCACCTCCACTTTCTTCCTGTGAACTCCAAAAACCTTTTTTCTACATATGCACCTGGAGCTAGCGTGCTGCCACATTCTCTTGAATCCAGTCTACCTATTCGATATTTCTGACTCACTAGGATATTAGCTTTTAAATTTGTCCCGATTTCTGCAATTGGACAACATCGGGGATAATTTGGGGCATTTTTCTCCCGGTAGAAAAATATTTTTTTAGAAATTTTTACCAATTTTCACGTATTGACAGCGAGTTAAGTCTAACCAAAAAATAATTTTCTTTGGAGGATGGTGTTCAGGATTCCAAAATTCATTTGATAGAGTTTTTCAATTTTCATCACTGGAGTCATTTATGTATAATGAAGAGTTCAGGTTACCTTGTTACTCTTTGAGCTGCAACGTCGCTTAGAGAATCTGATTTAATATTCAGAAATTTCTTGACAAATATTTACACCAGTTGAGATGATAATCTCCGATCTGATGTTTAACACTATTTAAATTATCCATAACGAGTAACAATGTTAAACATATTTTTAAGTACGTTCAACTAATAAGTTGCATTCTTATCAACCTTGTCGTTCCTGCAGATCTTCACAAAATGAAAATGTCCCTTACCGCGAAAGCAATGGTGCTCTTCATGCATATGGGTCATTTCAGTATGTTTGCAGTTCCTCTTGCACCATTCGCTCTGACTCTTATACGACCGTGCACGCCTCCCTTTCTCCTATCAATCTCACAAAAGTGTGAAGAAATAAGCTGGTTTGGTCCTGCCATCTTTGTTCCATTATTCGAACTTTGGGTCTCTTTCCAAATTTTTCTCACAGGCACTCTGTGGATTTATTTTGGGATATTTGTCAGTGTCGTTACATTGCAAAACTATTTCCGGATATTGGACAGGTATGAACTATATATTTTAAAACATTTTTCGTGTCAGTTTTTCGTCTATTTCCACCCATGTCTTTTTATAATTAGTGGCCGATGATGGCATTTGATGTATTAGCACAATCATAAGCTTCCTCATTTTCCCCTAAAACTTTCCCCTAAACCATATACCTAAATTACCATACTTACTGCCAGATATTATTACATAATAAATTTTCCCATGCAACTCAATTTCAGCGAAATAGCAGTCTCGGTTACAACGGAAGACATAATGGCGGTTGTCAAAAAATATCGAGGAATACAGATCTTGGAAAAATATCTTAACGAATGGCTCAAGAAAGTACTCGTACCTACTCTAATTACATTCGTCCCAGCACTTCAAATTCTTTGTCAGTATGTCTGCATCCAGATGCACAATGTGATCCCTATGCCTGGCTTTCCTGTCGTGCCTCTGATTATAGTAGATACCATAGTGGTCAACATCCTCGTCTTCACCTTGGCATCATACGTATGCAGCTCATCAACCAGAGTACTCCTAAATATCAAAGGGAATACCCGGAAAGAGCTGCGACGGTCTGCAATCAAGAAAGATCTGAAGGCATGTTCTATCATGAAGATTAAGTTTGGTACAAATTTCGTCGACCGGGGGACTCCATTAGTAATTCAAGATTTTTGCTTGAGTCAAACCATGCAACTTCTTCTGATAAAAAGGGGAACACGCTAAAGGATCATCTGCAGGAATTTTAAATAAAGCCTTTTACAAACAAATATAACAAGTAGCGTCAGAATTACCGAAATTTCCTTTAAAATGACGCCATATATAACAATAATATATTCATTGACCTCGTCCTCAAGGTCACGAGGTCAAAAATATTAACGTGCTTGAACTCGCGCTCAAATTTCCCTCAAAATGACACCCCGTATGAAAATTAAAGTCGAACTTAATTTTGACCACACCCCCTCGTGCTCTGGGGCGTGGTCCGACTGACCGTATTTTCGATGTAGATCGAGAACAAAAAATTAGAAGCACAATGGCGAATACCGCGTTTGATTATATTGACTCGTTCTGGAGATATCCTGCTGATGGACTGACGGACGGACGGACAAAACGATCACAATAAGCAGTTGAAGCTACTTAATAATTATTTTAGTAAATATCTAGTTTGCTACGAATTCTTTTGACAAACGTTTTTTAGTATGTAAGAATAAACCAAATCGAAACCAAAAGTTTTGACATTTTTGGTTTTTTTAACTTCTTCTCATTATGTGAAGTATATTTTTCTTGGCTGCGCGCCGAATGGTTTGCGGCGGCGGCGGAGCCTCAAATAGGCCCGGCGTATAATCGGCGGCGTGGGGCTCTGGTCTGGTCATGCTTATGGTAACCGTCGATGACAGTGGAATTTATGGATCTGTATCTGTATTTACATAAATATGATAAATATCAAAAGCTAACATGGGTATGTATGAACATTCACGCATTCTTAGATAAAATTCAGCCAGCGCTTCGCTCTCATGGCGTGCACTGGGTAAAATTATGACAAAGTAGCCAAATTAACACGAAAATTTGTTATAAAACGTTGTAAAATATTTTACGATGACTAAGTTGTAATGGAAATAGAACAAATTTATTGTGAAAGTTCTATATTTAATAAAACCTAGCTTGGGCTATGCAATAGCATTAATAGGTACATGCATATTAAAATTTATGAATTATGTGCACTCTAAATACCTAATCCAATAACAAAGTACCGCCAGCGGTAATCATACATACGTATGTATGTGACTCCACCACCATGGTAATAATTTATTATGGGCTGTCTAATAAGTGTAAACATATTACCATACATATTACATATTACATATATGTACATATTATACATATTACATATATTTATCAATAGTCGTGACCAAATTTTTTACCATTCTGGTAGAGTAACACAGGGCCCTTACGAGGGGCTGCCAGGTGGGGGTTTTCCCCAGGGCCGGGCCCCGAAGGGGGCCGGGCCCTGGTGTCCATCAAAAAAATTGCACAGGCGATTATTTAAGTGTTTAGAAGATTTTGAGCAGTGGCGTAGCGTGCTAATGTTGAACCTAAAATAAACAATAACTGAGAACACAAAATATAAATTTATGCGCATATCAGTATCAAAATGGTTAAATAACAATTGCGTCAATTTGTGCACTAGATCATGTAAAATGTTTTGCAAAATATACATCTATCGATACATTCTGTTTCATTAGAAATTTTTCGTGTATATGTTTCATACCACTTCCATACTACTACAGGAAAACTCGAGCTGGCTCGGCCCAGCTGGTTAACTTTGGACCTCGAGCCAAGCAAATACTTTAGTCCGGTTCGAGATAATTCAGCTCGACTCGGTTATTATCGAGCCGAGTCCAGCACACCAAAAGCTCTCTTGGCCCTGCTAGTTAAGAGCACTGATTTCAAGGCCTCATAATTTCTGTCCAAACCTCAGATCGTGAACCTAAAGCCACGGCGCCGATCGGCCTTGACCTTACCGAAGCCTTTGGTTAACGATTAGTTTTAAAGATTTTCATTTTCAAAATAATAGTCGACCTCATGTCTTACTGAGGTCGACCTCAAAATCCTAAAACAGGCAGAGGCCTGAGGCCATCCTTCACTGTTCAGGCATATTGTGGCCTATTATGTAGGCTATTTCATTTTTACACGAGTGGCAACAATGGATAATTATGTATGCATGCATTTTTTAGCTGAAAGAATTAGAAAATATTCAGACTGCAGTTGATTTTAAAATGAATAAGAATAGTTTTTCAGTAACCAACACCAAACATAAAACCTAAACATTGACACTAATATACCTATCCTAAGTGCGCATCGATAGTTAACACACTAAGCAAACACCTGAAAAAATTGTGTGTGCTTTCTACTTAGGAAGCCTAAGTAATTTGTGTAAAAAAGTAGTTAGAAGTTTGTATGTTAACAATTGCACATGTTCTCATTTTCCATCTTTTCATTTACTCTGCACAGTATAACCAAAATTTTTTTGAGACGCTTCTCAACTTTCCCAGTCCGACAAACTTATTGCGGGAATTTATTGCCAGGTTTCTTTTCACCATCAAAATCCAAGCTTAAATTTGTTACAATTAAATTTCACAAATTCTATCGGTACTACTATCCCGCAATGACGAGGAAACATAAACTGGATAACCAGAAACCGATTAGTGATGTGTCGAAAGAACCCTCCGGAGCTCAAAAACGTAAGAAACAGAAAGAAATAGAAGATAAGGATAAAAAATTAAGGAAGCAGGCCGAGCGGTTTTTTAAGTCACCTACACAGCCTCATTCGGATATCTCAGTGGTAAGTTGTGACACTTTCTGAACGATTATTTATTGTAAATATTGTGGTAAAATTCATTCAAATTAGAATCGCTAAATTGAAAATTAATGAAATTATTAAGCAGACGGATTCGCCGGCAACAACTTCAACATCATTGCAAATTTCTGTAGATGATGTACGTTCGGATGGTTCACGTAATCAGGAAGCAATCGTGTCTGCTCAGGTTCTGAACTTTAAAAAAATTATGCCAAGCTCATTTTTTATTGAGCAAAATTAATTTGGCATCAAAGCTGACCAATAAATAATACTGTTCAAATGTATTTAATGAAGATTGATTTGGAAACGTCTTCTCTACCCGTTAAAATTCCTAATGAAAATATTGAAAATAAAGAATTTCTGGCGACCTCCGAAGTCGAAATGGATGCTGATGACGACGCTGCAATTTCATTGTTTGATCCGAGTAGTTGGCCCCAAATCCTGAACGAGGAAAATCGGAACAGAATCTTGCAGTCAGTGCCAAATTTTGAGTCTACCTTTACTTTCGTCCCAGTTAACAGTCACAAATTTTCGGGAAGATATTTTTCTGGATCAAAGAAGAATGGCGAATCATATTTTCGTGATTGGCTGAGATTCAGCAAGATTTCTAATAGCGCATTTTGTCTTCCATGTTGCTTTTTCTCCTCCAAATCTGGAAACAAATCACCATGGAGTAATTGGGGGGTTGGAAATATCGGTTTCCAGGATTTCAAACACGCGAAGCGGGGAGTTGAAGACCACGAGGACAGCCTTAGCCATTTCGACGCGACGCGGACATGGAAATGTTTCCTAAAAAATGTCAAGGATCCCACATCGCTAACAGGCACTTGTGTGAAAACCTATGATGAAAACATCAATCATTGGAGATTGGTTTTGCGTGGAATAGTAGACGCCGTACTATTCTTAGGTGGGTAGTCCTCTATCATTATATTTTACGTCCTAATAATTGATCCTAATATTTTTTTAGCCAAGAATAATTTGGCCTTCCAAGGTGGAAGTCAAAAAATAACCGATCCAAATTGTGGAAATTTTCTGAACCTCATCAAGCTGCTTTCGAAGTATTATGCCCCCTTGGCCGCCCACGTCGATCACTTACAAAAAAACAGCCCAAGTTATCTTAGTGCCATCTCCCAAAATGAATTTATTTTGCTCTGTGGCCAAAGAATTCGAACATAACTTGTCAATGACATTAAGGAACGAAAATATTTTTCCATTTTATTCGACAGCACTCCGGATTCCTCTCGACAAGATCAAATTTCTCAAGTTATTCGCACAGTGGAATGCAAAGAAATGGGTTGCCGAGTTGTTGAAAGCTTTATAGACTTTATCACTACGACCAATAAAACCGGGCTTGGACTCTCTAAAGTCATCCAGGAGAAGCTGGAAATGGATGGATTGGACCTGATGGATTGCAGAGGACAAGGCTACGACAATGGAGCAAACATGGCGGGCATCTATTCTGGAGTCCAAGCAAGAATTTTGGAAATAAATGACAAGGCAAAATTTTTACCATGTGCGGCACATAGCCTGAACTTGGTGGGGGTTAATGCAGCGGAGAAAGTTCCTCCCGCAAAGCTGATTCTTGGCGACGTCCAAAATATTTACTTATTTTTTTCCGGATCAGCATCAAGATGGGATGTTCTTCAATCCAAAGTCAAGCTAACCCTGAAATATCAAAGTAACACAAGATGGTCATCAAAAACCGCCGCCGTCTCTGCATTATATGACCAGTACCCAGAAATCGTTGACGCCCTTACCGAAATTTCAACCTCAGAGTCTTTCACTTCGGATGTGAATGCCAATGCCCTTAGCAGATTGCGGGACATGCTAAACTATAAATTTTTACTTGGAATCACTATTTGGAACCAGATTTTGTTCCAAATAAACATCTGTAATCTCAACCTGCAAGATAAAACAATTGATGTGAGTATAGCCAAGAAGAAATTAAATGTCCTCAAAACTTGGTTGGAGAATTTCAAGGAAACCGGATTTCAGTCATCCGAAGTCTTGGCGCAACAAATTGCCGAAAACATGGGAATAGAGATGTCAAGTGGATTTGAAAATATTCGTCAGGGAAGAGGGATAAATCCACGTTATATGGACCGTTCGGATGCTCTGGTTGCGCAAAAGCAAACCAACCATGAACGATTTGAAGCCGATTTTTTTGACAAATTAATGGAGAAGCTCATTTCCGAAATCTCCCGCAGATTCGACGCCTTTAAGAAGTGCACGGAGACTTTTGAATTTTTGTGGGGTCGCAACCTTAAAGAGATGGAAATTCAAGAGAAACAAAAATGCATGCAGGATTTGTGTCATGAATATCCTTCCGATTTTTCCGGTCCTACATTTTTAAATGAAGTTCAGAGTCTGGAGACCACCATATCTGCATTTAACGAAACTGGCAGAGACCTTCCTCAATTGGGACCCATGGATGTCCTTAACATTCTTTACGCCAATGGCTTAGCGTCTGCCTACCCAAACTGCGAGACAGCACTTAGGATATTTCTGACTCTGCCCGTCTCTGTTGCGTCAAATGAGAGGTCGTTTTCGAAGATGAAAATAGTCAAGAATTACCTAAGGTCGACAATGGGTCAGGAGAGGCTTAACGCCCTTGCGTTAATTTCTATTGAAAGAGAGGTTGCAGATGATATTGACTTCGATGAGGTGATTAATGATTTCGCTTCCCAAAAATGTCGCAAAATTAAGATTGTATAACCTTGAAGTACGAGATAGAGTGGTCGAAGTAGTAAATATTCTTTAATAAAGTCATACCTTTACTAATTTGGACGTCATTAATAAGCTTATCATCATATTGATCTGATTTAGCACACAAGTTTAGAATTAGAATGTTATGCATAAACTCATAGTAAATTATCAATGATCATGGTATCCTATAGAGATAAACAGTTCCAATGTTAGTTATTCAGTATAGGACGGGGCTGGAATGATGGGATTGGCTGGTTCACAGTTCAAATATCCCCATGTATTTGTGAAACCGCGCAGGTGAAGCCGTAGCCACTTACTCCACGTCGTCAGCTGCCCTACATCTCACTCCATTCTTCAACATCTCCTCTCCCAATAATATTTTAATTGACGTTGCGAAATTAAGTTTAATGACAGTGATAAGGTCACACCAAACCAAGCATCACCACCGTCATCATCGTTGTTATTAGGTGAGTTGGTTGGAGGCAAGATTGTTTGACAATTTATCATAATCCATTTTTATTTTTGCAGTGCTTACAAATACACTGTACCTGCCCGTGGTTCCTGTATGGTCAAGACGGACATTCAAATTAAACTTCCGTCCGGATATTATGGTCGAGTCGCACCACGATCAGGTCTTGCTTTAAAGAACAAGCTTGATGTTGGAGGTAATAATCAAGTTGATGAATGATAGGTTGATTAAAGGAGTGTTAGCAACTAAATTTATTTCATCTACTAGCTGGAGTGATTGATGAAGACTACCGTGGAGATGTGGGAGTAATCTTGTTCAATTTTGGGGACGCCGATTTCGAAATTAATGAAGGTGATCGCGTCGCACAATTGATCTGTGAGAAGATCTACCCTGAAATTGTAGAGTTGGAGGTAATATATAATTCAATACGTTTAAAATAACAACAAAATGCATTTTAAGAACGGCTTATAATCCTTAAATTTTGATTGTTACAGAGTTTGGACGAAACCAAGATTGTTTGACAGTTTATCATAATACAAGGTTACGACAATTGCTTCGAGAGCTTCAAAAACCTTCATTTTTGAAGCGCTAATTATTTGGGCCGTCGCTAACGGTAATTAAAGCACATAAATTTCTGCCAGAACGCCGAAATTTCCGATTTCACATTTTCTATCGGTATTTTTATATTCGATACATTTTAAAAAATTATGGGTCAAATTTTGTCCTCCTTTGCAATGGTATTTTTTATTAATTGCTTAAATTATTTGTAATTATTTTTTAAGCCTTGACCAACCACCTTGTCGAAATCATGGGAGACTGGACGGTACAAGATGAGGCGGTGGCTTGGGCATCGACTGCACGAGGAGAATAAAGAGTCGGCCTCATCAAACGCCTGCTCCACATTTGTGACCTTGACGAGCTGGAGAATGTGAAAACGGTTTTGCATCACAAAACTAGAAGGAGGGCCCGTCAACGCGACCAGGACGCGAAGAAATCAAAGTCTGACGATGGCGTACTGTTGGCCACCATTCCTCAAGCTGCGTCTTCACCGCTCTGGCTGGAGTTTAATAAGGTTCTGGTCCTTCTTCTTCCTCCTGTAGTAAAGCTTATTTCTTATACTCTTAATCTTCTTCTTCACCTCGGGGGAAAGCTTCTGATGATTCACCCCACCCCCCATCGGTGGAGACACAAACGATGGTGAAGACACGAAGGGAGGTGGAGCAATCGGCAAAGCTCCTTTAACAAGTCTGCAATGTTTTGGAGGTGGATGAAAATGTTTGCTGCATACAATCGTTTTAGGTGACACGTTTTCCTTATCGATGTCGAGAATGTCACACCACTCCTGACACCTTTAAAAATACTCAAATTAACGATCAGACGAATAAGTTATTTTGCATGGGAAACTATACCTCTTCGGGCACTTTGGCAGACTGAAAAAGTACGAATTGTGATCTTCTTCATTTAATGAATTATGACAGTTAGGAACGCAGCATTTTTTATTTCGGACCATGTTGAAAAGATGATTTGTTACATCCAAATAAATATTCTGACCATCTTGGTAGCCTGCGAAAAATAACAAGCGAATATTAATTTAAAGCCTGCTTGCAACATATATGAACGTGTGTCCACCATATTTATGTGTCTCCACCGTTCATTATTGTCTTAGTTCTAGATACACACTGATAGATTGGATAAATTGACTGGCGAAGACACGGATTTCTGGTGGATGCAGGGGTAAAAGATCACAAAATTGGGAAACAATCTGCACAAATGTTATATCTGCAATTCACAAAAATAAATTTGGTGGCAATTCATTTCCAGCCATGAGCGTGTTTTCACCATACATTATGTATATGTATGTGTTTCCACCGTTCATTATATAAGTTATTGTTTAATATTATGGCCGAACCTGGTAAACTTTAAAGAAGTTTCCGACAATTTCACACTGTTACCAGGTCACGAGCAACATCTCATGGTAATTGAGTCTATAATTAAACAAAATATAGTGCATTACAAAATACAAATTCCTTGGTCCTTATTTTTGGAGAGTTAAAGTTTGCATTTACCAGTTTGGCCGGCGATGACACAGATTTCTGGTGAGGGCACAGCAGAGAGGTCGCAAAATTAATCGATGAAAAATTGTCGTTAGCAGTTACCTATACCAATAAACCACAATAAATTAACATCGAAATCACTCGTAAAAATGAACGTGTCACCACCATATTTGCGTCCCCACCGTTCATTGCTAAAAGAAAATAGTAATTACTTGAGTTGAAGTTTAGAGCTGAACTTGTGGTGAGTTGAAGCGATTTATGTAATTGAGTGGATGTCAGAAAATTAATTTGTAGGATATTAAATAATCTTTTAATTACTCAGCTTTTGCGAGTTTGGCAGCAAGAATGATGGTAAAGGAGACACCTGATTTTGGTGCCAAGAAAGGAGTGAGATTTCCAAGTAATGGGGACATTGAGATTGGGAAAAATTGAGTTGTGCCACGGCCCTGTTTTTATGGGCGGATGCCCATAAAAACCGTCAGCCAATCACAGCATTTGGAACCCCATTTCCCTATACTGAAACAATAACCATATCTTCATCCTTCTTTAAGTGATCTGTATTCACTGGTAAATTATTAAATGGGGCCGGGCCAGGAAAAGTTCCCAGGGCCGGGCCAGGCAAGTTTGGGCACTGGAGTAACATACATACACAGGTATAAATACCACATAGTAATACATTTTAAACGGACTGTTTAGAATGCATCTTCGTTTACATATTTGTTTTAAGTATTTTGGTGCGTGATTGTCTTATGTGGATGGACTTATCGTAACCCTAGTGTTGCCCCAGCGAGTTTTCTTGCAAACAATTTCAAACGAGGTCGTTGTAGGGTTACCAGTCACTGCAATATATTTATCCGACCTCAAGAATGTCTGAAATCTTTCCAACCCTTGTTGGTTTTCTGCCTTGGTCCAAATTCCCCTCTCTTCTGCAGTTCTAGCAATTTCAGGTGTACTGTAAAACTCCATAGTTTTAATGACAAAGTTGCTGGTAGTGATTGGTCCTGCTTGTCCTGATCGGTCCGTTTCTTCTTCTTGCACTATCGCAGAGACTGCCGTATTCAATCCTGAGAGTAGTGCTTTGCAATAAATCTCTTTCAGCTTGTACCTATACATATATTTATTTCAAAAAAGTGCTAAAATTTATCATTTAGTCGAGGGAAAGCTTTTGGAAATTTAAAATCTTAATTATCATAATACACACTTAAATCTTAAGTTTCCATTCTGAAATGTGCAAATAAATGCACTCTGAATTCGATATTAAATACTAAATCCAGAGTAATTGTACAGTAAATCAAGCCATCGTAATTAATTTAGAATTGAGAGTGCATTTATTTTTTTTAAATGTGACATTATTTTCAAGGGTGTACCTGTAAAACCAACTCGATTCCAAAAAATTGCCTTGTTTTTCTTTTTCATTCAAATAAAACGTCTTCGTCTTGAATTCAATTCCAACTTGGGCACAGTTCTGACCATAGTCTATCTCGGAATGGTAGAGATATCTAAATCTATATTATAAGCTAGAAATGTTTGTCTGCAACGGAAGTGAAAGTAATTTTCCGTGACGGGAGTGAAAGTGGAGAAAAATTCCCTTGCCAATAGTCGTTTCCAGCTAATAATATAGATAAAATAAAAATAATAATTCGGTGGAATTATGAACAAGCCGGTTAATTTTCACAAAAATCAAATAAGCCGGTCGCCCGGCGGGAGACGTGCTTATTCGCTAGTATAAAATATGTGTAAGATACAATTAGTCACGTTGAACTTCAATATTTCGAAAGCTATACACTCTAAATAAAATTGCATTAAAACTAGTTAGCTGAGAAATTAAAAATAACTAATGACACAACATTTCTTCAAATTATATCCAGCCCTTGGGCAAATTTCATCCAATTGTTATTTCATGCTCTACTTTGCTAAACTTTGCGTAAATTTTACCCAACTTTATTCAAAGTGTAGCCATGATAAGCAATGATAAATATTATGGTTTGCATTTTTGACCACTCTAAGATAAATAAATAGTCTTTAAATATGTATGTATATATGTATATCTGAAGGTGCCCGTTAATACATATGTATATGTATATATGTACATAAATAATATGATATTGTTTCCGAGACATTACCGAATGTTGGATGTAAGATCGATATAAAATATCCCGTAAATTTTTACTCGCATGGCATTCTCTCCTAGGTAAAAATATCCAACAGATTAACTAAAATATTCCCTATTTTGTAACCGACAAAGGACTAGGATTCATTGGTCACCGGGGCCCTCTCTTCTGTGCTAGGATGGCTCTGCGTTCTCTTTTTGTGTGTGCGTGACCAATCTACGGTCAGAGAGATGGACGTATGAATAAATACGTCAGTTGCGCCGTCGTACAGAGCAGAAGGGGCACTTGTTACTTCCGGTCGTGCGCCAGGTTACACTCATGTCATAACTGGGTTATCTACACTGCAAGAAATAGGATTTAGGCAGGCAGGTTTTAAAGCTGCTACCGCTTGGTAATACCGGATTTCTACGTAAGAGTGTACAGTGTCGCAACCACCACCAACCCATCCAACGAAGAATTTGCCCGAGTATGTCAAGCCATGACCAAAGTTTCACCATAGACGCGCATCACCGCCCACGTGGTCCGTCATGTCGAACTTACCATAATTATTTTTATTTTTGAAATTTGTGCCCTCCTCTGACCTGAGTTACATTGGAGGACTTTGTCCTCTGTGATTTTTTCAAGAGCGGTACGCTCCTGATACTCTTGGTCGTCAGAATAGTAAATATCTTCAGGTGGGATAAACATGTCGGAAATTTGTGAGGAAACCCGTCTCCATCGGATTTTATACTCGGGTTGCCGCATGATGATGTTTAAGGGTCGCTGGGAGCCACGAAATAAGCTGTAAAAAATATATATTTGTAAGTGTAACACGCAATATTAATCTGAATGAAATATCAATCTGAATTCACGCAATCCTTTGTAACCTTGTCAAATCAGGGAAATCCGTAAACACACAAACTCTAAAAGACATTTCAAATATTTCTGAGGAAAATGAGTTTACGAGTTTTTGTAAACTTACATCAATAGCATCTTTATATTATGAAAAACATTATTTTACAAAGCGATTGAAATAGTTTTGTAAAATGACAAGTCACCAATGACTGCGTGAACTGCCTTAATATTCATTTAGTACATTTTTATATGTACATAGGTATACACAAACGGAAACACTTACGTTTTTCCACTGTTTAACCATTCCTGAATTTCAGTTCGGTTCATCGCTTCTTCCATAATTTCCCAAGGCTCTCGATGTTCCGAGACGGTTGCAATGTAATTTTTCTCTTCCTTAATTGCATCATGTACTTCTTGCCCCGTAATTTTGATTGGTTGTGTTAGATGATAAGTCCAAGTTTTTATTGGAGATATGTCATAATCTGAGTACAATTTGGCTTGTTGCTCCCTGTCATGCACAAATTTGTTAAGTTTCCTTCCAAATTGCGACTGACCTTCCAGGGATGGAATAAATTTCTGCTGAATTCCCCACGTGATCGGATTAAAGGATGAGTTTTCACGTTCCTCTAAAGGAATTGTTCTCCATGCCCACTCCCGCTCCTCGGGTGGTGGGGTTAATTTTACATATATACCGACACACTTGGCCATTTCGTTTTGATATTGGTTATCTAATTTTTAATGTTTTCAATAATGATTCAGATAAATATGTGTTACTAAAACATGTAGTGTTGCTAGCTAAGTGTTGTTTAAAACCATTTGTTCTCGGTTTATATAGTTTGCTGCATTACGTAATATGAAATAAGTTAGTGAAGTAAAATTCATTACATGATACATATCGACAGATTCACTGCAATGTGTAACCATCTCCAAAAAAATTTCGATGGCATGGCAATGAATGAGCCAACCAGTTTGGCATGGACTTATGTATATGAGTAAGAATTGCATGGTTTAATATTACGTATTACATACATACATACGTGTGTAATCTGTCCATAAACTACGTTACATATTACGCTTCTTCTTTATAGTTGCATGGATTTTACGCAGTCATGTTCACATTCATTTAACCTTAGCTTTTGCTGGAAAACGCTTCAGGCTGGAAATAATTTGAGTCATACAGGAGGAATCATGCGTCTGTGTTAATATAAATTAGCATGCAGAATTTGCCAACCTGTATAAACTATGTATGCAGTTTGAGATTAAACTGAAAAAGAAAACTTATGTGGAAAGATATATTGAAGGGTTTTGTATTTCCTTGAATTTCTAAGATTTTGGATAACTTCTATTTGCATAAGTTTGAATTTTATTTCATTCAAGTTTATTTAAATACAGGTTATGCAAATATTTAAATATGTAAATATTTATATACCTGTGTCCCATAAATTGTTTTACATACATATTGATAAATCGATATGTACATATATACATAAAATTTGCTTACTTAAACATACATAAATCCAACTGGAACTCAAACTAATTTTTACATACTTACAATGCAAGTCTTTTACGTGTACAACTCAGATCTGGTTGGGACCAATTTTATTTTGTTCGCCACAAAAAATAAGCATACCCGTATCTTTGCATTTTTCATAATGCGCTAATTTGAGCGCGGGGCGCGAAGTTTATTTTTCAGCCAAAACCTAGGTTTTTAAAAATTCTATAAATTTTCGAATTTTAGCCCGAATCCAAAAATTCGAAAACATGTCTCTTCAGAATGACTTACCTGACTTATGAAAAATCCAATTGTCTCGAAATTTGATTTTCAAAATTTTTTGCCAGTTTTTGAAATTAATTGAAATTATAAACTCTTTCAAATTTTTAATTTTTCAAAAAATAATGTATGTGGATTTTTCATTAGTCAAGTAAGTCATTCTGAAGACAGATGTTTTCGAATTTTTGGATTCGCGCTAAAATTGGAAAATTTACAGAATTTTTAAAAACCGAGGTTTTGGCTGAAAAATGTTTTAAAATTCGCGCCTCGCGCTCAAATTAGCGCATTATGAAAATTGAAAAAATACGGGCATGCTTATTTTTTGTGGTGAACAAAATAAAATTGGTCCCATTGAGATCTGAGTTGTACAAGTAAAAGACTTGCATTGTTAGTAGCTTTATGTGCAATTCCAACACCATTTCATTGCTGCTTAGACTGTAAATTATTAAGATACTGCGTTCAAAAAAAGACAAGCTCAAAATTTTATAAAATAAAAAAAAATGTATGCACATGTATTTACATGTACAACTTTCTTCTATACACTCATCACGGTGGTTACATTTAGTGCTATTTCTTTTCCGCAAACCGGACCCTCCAATCCAACAATAATAATCCGTAATTTTCAGCTCCCTCATATTGCTATAAACCTTCTCACTAAAACGTTAGCAGTGCATTTATAGTGTAATACAGAATATTCCAAACAATTTCCACCATCCAAGACTTCGAAAAGGTGCCAAAGGGTCCTTCCTTTATTCCCACGGGAATCAGTGACCGGACAAGCTTTTTCACATATTTTGAGCAACCCTCAAACACCTCAATAAACTGACCGATTTCTCATGTATTTCTGTCCCATGTGGCAACATCGTCACCACAATAGCAAACCCGATTAAACTTGTTCCCGGAAGTAGTACATACAACGCGAACGGAATCCTTCCTTGTCTTCGGATAGTTATATAATTCGCCAAAATGATGATACTCATACCAAGAAAGATAAGTGGCGCAACGGCGGAGTAACAAAAATTTCGGTTACAGGTACCAATCCAAAGTTGCAATTCTTTATACACTTCGATTACTCTGGTTTCAGATGCTTCAAACTTTTCGATGATTTTTCGGCACCGCGCTATGATTTGGGTTGACGCGATCAAACATATTAACGCCAAGGTGGCCAGAGCACAAAGTGATTTCAGAACTTCTCCACCAACGTGGGTTAAAATTCCTATGCGAATCCTGATTAAGACAAATCTGAGACTAGATGTCTGCCAAGATTGAACTTGACTGATAACATAAAGCGGATCTATATCTAGCCAAACGACGAGAGGAATTAAGAAGGGCGGGATGAATGGCGACATCTTTATGAAGGTCAGCAGGCCGAACTCCAAAACCCGATTGGTCGGGGGATGATGTTGAATTTTTCCCAAAACTGAAACACGTATATAAGACAAATTAGTTTTCGAAAAATAAAAAAAAATCAAACCAGAAACCCAGATATTAAATCCCGCTCTGGGATTAAATGCATTAAATATTACAAATGCGTGTGGAGATTACAGTAATTAAGCGTACAGCCTTAATTTGGAGTTTTCTACACGCCTACAGACAAATAATCCTACCTTTTTGAAAATTAAATAAACTTCAAATTCTATATTAAGAAAATTAAACTAGATTAAGAGCAACCTTACCTTGATGATGAGAATAGTTTACCCGAAAATTAGTTTAGCCGGTAGTTTAAATACTCCATAAAAATTGAGGGTGCAATTACTTCTTAAAAACAGTAGCATTGTTTTTAAGTAAGGTTGTACAACAAGAAGTATTTAAAAGTCCTTTGACCCACATAATTTACTATGCGAAACACTAACGATTATGTGGATTAATAAAAAAAAAACGGTGTTTTAATCAACGGTTGCTCCTTACCCGCAATTCTCAGCTGAAACAAGTTAATAGGATTAAACATCGGACAAACTAATTTCCCCCGAAAAGCGAATAGGAAACTGGTCGGGATGAAGATGGGGAAGAGACAGACGATATAAAACATGGTGAAAATCCTTCGAGTCTCCATATTACTTGTCATAAGATTAACATTATCGGAGAATACGATTTTGTGTGTTAGAATCAGAAAAGTTATGAGAGCATACGCAACATATAGAACACAGGAAAACTTGAGAATTACACGTTTTACAAAGGATTCTCGGACAAAGTATAGTTTTCTTTCTGTCACAGAGAAATGCAAGGGAAGAACGGAGAAGCGTTGAAATATGGAAATATATTTTCCCAAAATTGCCCATAGTCCGGGTGAAAGCAAATCATTCTCCGTGAGTGGGAGGGGTTTATGTAGATTGAACAATTTTTTAATTTCTGAAGAATGATGAAAACGTAAAAAATTACGAGGCATTTTTCGGTTAGGATTATTGGCTTGGTAGAATTGTCGAACTGTTAGAAACGTTTGTCAAAAAATATTGAGATACTTTGAGACGAAAGAAATACATTTATTATTCAAGGCTAAAATATTCATATGTATGTACATACATACATAGAGGGGTCGCCCCGGGAAGTGTTGATGTGGAACTTTGACCTACAAATGGTCAAAAAATGATTCCAAAAGTCTCAAATTTTGGTATAATATGTCGAATACATCTGACGTAATATATCCGTAAACAAACGAGACTTTAATCCATTATCCACTTCGTATTTAGCCTTTTTAGTCGCGGCCGCCATTAATACTTTTCTGGAAGACTTTGCAACTTCATTGCTAATTTTTTCCAACCGGAACTGAAATTTTCTTAAAATATCGACTGTTTCACAAAGCAGGGAATATTACTTCTTACAAAGAGTCCAAAATGTTTCGATGGGGCGAAGATAAGAGATATTTGGAAGGTTTTCATTTTTCAAAATAAAACTACCATTTGATCACCATACATTTTGACGCCAACCAAATCGGAAATTTCTTGAGAAATTTTTAAAAACATTTTTATTTCGCGTCGGTTTTCACTTGAGAGATATATTTGCCATGAAAAAATTCCCTTCCCGGAGTTTCTGGAACGTTTTTAAGGACGTAGGACTCGTCGTCAGTGACCAATTTTTTTGAGAAATTTTGTTGTAAAGCTTGGGACGTTTTGCTTTTACCATTTTCCTACGACCTTCCGTATGTTTTGTATACGGAAGAGAGATTTGTTTGTACACGCTTTGACCGAGAACTTATGTGCCTTAACATGATGGAAGTAGTTTGTATTTATCTTTGACCTTTGGGCCGCATCAGGCATGAACGTGGCACGACATTTTCCAAAAATAAATGCAATCGTTTTTTACTTTCAAGTTGTGATTTGGATGGTTTTTTCTCATGGTGCGTATTTAGCGTTGACATTTTCGGATTCTCCATACTTTTTTATGTAAGTCTTAATTTTTTCACGCCCACCCCCTTCTCCGTTGAAATATAGTCTTCTTCGAGTAGTTGTCGCTCAAATTATGGTACTTACAAAAACTCGATTCGCGAGTTCGTCGCTTTGAAATGGTGTAGGAAATTTGTGTTTCATAGAAAATTTATGAAATTTTGGGGGTGTGCGGGTAGATATATTTAGCACATTCTGCACAAAAATCAGATTTCTAAACCTATTTTTGACGACTCCGCTGTCAACCTTCGTAGTGATCGAGTTCCAATAGGACCCACTCTATTACGTATTACGGGATGAATTTGTTGTTAACGATGTAAATAATAAGGTTAAATCGTTACACATATGTATCTACAATACATAAATTGATTTTAGTTATTTACTTCAGAAGACTAATAAAGAAAGAAATTTGGTGTAGAAATCTAGTTTTTAATTTTATTCGGGCTTTACTCAATTGTATACCTATTTGTTATTTCAAAAATAAGTTGGCTATTTTCAACCGGTGGACATTTTGCACTAAATATGAATTTACATATAGGGATGTACATAAGTTCTATCAGGACAAATTCTAAATGCATTTGTCCTTATGGACAAATTATGGTAAGGAAATTAGCTATGCATGATACTGAGTATCATGCACAGCTAATTTGACG